GCTTCTAAATTTGGTGAGTATCGGTGAAAGGGTTTATTTTTTATAAAATTTTGAATTTTTTGAGAAATGTCTGTACATGCTGTAACTTTCAGAAAATTTGAAATATCGGATTAAATTTTTTTACATGAATAGAGTATTAATTATGTTTGATGTTGAATTTAGTGAGGATCGGTGAAAGAAATTATTTTAATTTTTATTTCGCTCACAAAGGTTTCTCTATGAGGAAGCAAAAATTGAAAAATCCGCATGCTCAAAGCAGCTTAAGCATTGTAAGATAAAATGATGAGGAAGCAATGTGCAAGTTTTTAATTTGCACAACTCTACTTGTTTATCTTTGGACATATTATTATTTGCATAATTTATAAATATTTGATTTTAATCAGAAATTTGCATATATAGATTGCATATTGGCTCACAATAAAGTTCCCGAACGTACAATTATGCGAGGAAAATTGATGACGTCACTCGCGCTAATGCGCGTTGGCGACAATAAAGGTGATTAGAAAGCTGTGATTGTTCCGGGTAATTTAGTGCACACAATAATTCTGTCTAAAAATAAGTTCAGTCTAGTAAGGGAAAGCGCAATTGTTTATTCGGATAAAAAACTTTAAATCACCTTCGATTTTTACGGAATATTTTTGAAATATTTTACGACAGAAATATACATATGTATTTTTTTTTTCATAATTTTTGAAAAGCATAATATAAACTGTATTTTTTCTGAATCCAGATAATGGTATTTGTTCGCTCAACACAAATGTGTAGGAGAAAGATTTATAGATACTTTCATCCGATATAAATGAAACCGGTTCTCGTTAATCACGATTCTTGACTGCTGCAAACGGAAATAATCGAAATCGGATAATTTAGAAAAAAAAGTGAGTTCTGGTCATCTCGATCCTCGAGATATTCGCATTTACGTTGATTTACGGAATATTCGTTTTGTGTTGTCGTTCATGCGCCATCAATTCATCTGCGCAACACATTCATCAATAAATTTTTATACTACGCAATACACAACGAATAACACCTTCCTTTTATCATGCAAATTTCGTATATTTTTAACGACCAATTAAACACGGTTTATATCGAATAAAAGAAAGAAAAAAAAAAACAGGAAAGCTTGGAAAGAAAGTTTTGTGCACAGTTGGAAAATTTTGCTTAAGGGATCTTCCTAGTTTGACGCTCTGAAAATAAAGGCGATTTTTGAGAATTTTTTTAAAGAAAAGTATAAAACATATTAATTCTAAACTTTGCACGTTTATTAAATAACATTTCAAATATATCCTGAATTTTTTTCAAACAAATATATTTGTTTATTCCGGAGTTATAGTAGTCCAACCAGGATGTCTAAAAAAAAAATGGCGAACATGATTCCAGCCGTTATAATCATCTGAAATAAAAAAAACCAAAAGGATTCTTAATCTGTATGTGATTATCGTGTGAACTAGAATTAAATGGATATTTGCAAAATTCAAATTTTGCAACTTACAAAACTAACCAATTTTTTAGTGAAAAATAAAATATTTTTTTGAGATCCTGCTATTTTTTATTTTTCAATATTTTTTTCTATTCTGGTTTTCGCGATAGCCACACTCATACAGATTAAAAATCTTTTTGGTTTTTTATTTCAGATGACTATAATGGTTGGAATGATGTTCGCCACGAACAATTTTTTTTTAAGGCACCCTCTTGTTGTACTACTATAACTCCGAAACAAACAAATATTTTTGTTTGAAAACATTCAGGATATACTTGAAATGTTATTTTTTTATTCTAGTTCACGCGATAGCAACACTCATACAGATTAAGAATCTTTTTGATCTTTTTATTTCAGATGACTATAACGGTTGGAATCATGTCCACCGCGAACAATTTTTTTTTAAGACGCCCTGGTTGGACTACTATAATTCCGAAACAAACAAATATTTTTGTTTGAAAAAAATTCAGGATATACTTAAAATGTTATTTAATAAAGGTACAAAGTTTAGAATTAATATGTTTTATACTTTAAAAAAAAAAAATTCCTAAAAATCGCCTTATTTTCAGAGTGTCAAACTAGGAAGACCTCTTAAATTTAATCTAATTGCATGTCCCAAACAGAGCCTACATAAATTTTTGTGTTAATTTAACATAATATGCATATGTTAAATGATGACACATTAATATTATGTTAATATTTCAACACAAAATGAATGCAAAATTCATAGTAATTTGAAATAAATTTTCTATAAAATCAACATATTTTTAATGATAGAATTAACTTAGAAAAAAAGTTATTGACGGTCTGTAGTCACTCTCACTCCTATTATAGAATAAAATCAAAATTTTTTCCTGTAAATTTCAACAGATAAATCCTGTCACTAATAATACGGAACATATTTATTGTGTAAAATTGAAGATATATATACATTGTGTTATTTCCATATCTTTTTTTCAATTGTTTTCATATCATTTTAATATTTGAGTTTAATTAACACAACAATAATATATTAAATTAACACATGAATGTGTTAACTATTAATATATATAACTATTAATATAATACAAAAATTTTAACCGGCATATTTTTTAACAAGAAAACAAATTTTCCACCTGTGTGTTATTTCGCGATGGTTGGTTAAAGCGACGAAACGGTGCTATCGATCCTCCGTTAGTAATGTCCATACAGGATGGAATATATTGTCGCTGTGCGGTAAATGCATCGCGAATCCAGCGAGCTTCATTGATCCGCGCTTGATCCTCGTAGCTGCAAGAAACTCCCTCTTTGTCCTCGGCACTTCCGCTGACCTCGCGCTTCCACCGCATTCAGCGTGTGTCCTTTATTTCGCAGATTCGTGTTTCCCTTTTTGCACGCTTTTCCTTTTTCCAAGTTGGAAATGAAAAGAGCAACCATCCATTAGTGGCTATTAATAAATAATTAATCTTGTAACGCGAGAAATCCGAGATTTTGACTCAATCTTGATATATTTGCGTTTTCTTCTTTCGATATAGGGGAAAGTAGAGTAAAACCGGGTAGGCGGAACAAACCGGGTATTTCTGTTTCTTCGTGATAAAATTGCTACTATCTTTGGCTAACACGTGTTATTAGCTGTAAATTGATGCCAACATTATTTTGAGATGAACCGTACTCACGTGCATATGATAATTCTTTTTTGAGAAAAGTCCAAAATTTTCGGACCAAAAAAGATCGATATCAGGACAACAATCGAGTCGTTATGGACTTTTTCTACACAGAGCATCTGCTTCGGTAAATGCAGCATTGCGTTCTGTACATATTAGAGAGCACATCTACACTAGTTTTGATTGTCACTTTGTATGCCGGAATATACAACCGTTGTATTTGTTACTTTCCTTGTATTGGGGCAAAACCGGGTACTTACACATTTCATGTAATGAAAAGAGGAAAAACTGTTATCCTGACTTTGTGTCCCTACAAAAAGCAATTGGAAACAAAAACTACCATTCAGAAAAAGAAATCATTAAAAAAAACTTTTTGAGACCCCTAAAGTTAAAAAATTAAATAAGGAAGTTCTGCAGCAATGTCGAACAAGAGGATATCTTTATTTGTGATTTTTGTCAATAGAATACATCTTTATATCGTATTTAGATCAAAATCTAGATTTTGTGATGTTTTACATGTTTTCAAACGGGTACCCGGTTTTATCCTACCGGTAGGGCAAAACCGGGTATTTTGACTTCTCTAAAAAATCTCGTTATTCTTGGTAAACAAAAATTTTTTTTTCAGCGACTAGCCTCATTTTTTCATAGTTTAAGATCCACTAAAGACTACTAATGGTCAATAAAATTTTTTTTATTCTCTGATTTTTTGTAGGAAGACAAATCCAAAAAGTACCTGGTTTTACCCTACTTTTCCCTATACATATCAAGATATCTAGTGTTTCTACTTCCTGGAAAAACACGAAAAACCCGGAATTCTCAGAGATTTCCTTTTTTCTCGATGAGAATTTCCTAATCTTTTCAGGAGCAAAAGATATCTCTGAGAATTTTATTGAGGTTCTGGGAATTTCTTAAAAAACTCTCTCTTTGATAATTTTGCTGTTAAATTGTAAGCCAAGTGAATTATGTATTAAAAATATATTATAAATATATATAATATATCTATTTCTGCTTATATATTCAATGTCTTAAGAGAATATAGAATATGCAGGAGATATTCTTTATTACAATTTATAATGATAAAAAAAATGGAAATATTATACAAGTGAAAAATGTTTATTTCGCGAAAGCTATCCAGTTTTTTTTTCAGTACTTACATTTGCAAATCTAGTACTTGAAACTTAAGTGGCTCTGTTTTCCCTTCGCATGTGAAAAACATCAAAAAATGCATACAATAAAATAATATTTTAAAAAGTTGATACCAAATATTTAAAATATTCTCTTTATCTGGAATTTTGAACAAAAATATCTGGAAAATCATTAAGGAATTTATCTACAAAATTTAAGGAATTCTTCTACAAGATTTGAGTAGACACTCTATACAAGGATGAGTGAGAATAGAATTTTTCTATATTTCTATATTTTCGCGGACATATAATTACTTTGGGACGATATAAAATTCTAGATTATTCATGGAACTATAAAAAATTGTAAATTATCTGAATTTATGTAAAGTGTTTTCTCACAAAAATCCATCTCTTTTTTTTTTTGAAAGAGAAAAATAATCTTTATTACATTACGCCACTCGTGTGTGCGTGTATTTGTGTGTGTATGCGCGCGCACTCATATATTCTCGCAACTCGTTACAGAGACACGTGTATTTTCAGCGCTAAATAACTCACAAATGAAAACGAATTCACGACAGCAAATGACAGGATGTCATTTGTGCGATAATTAGTTCTCGCAAGGAACAAAGTGAAAAATATATCGCGCACCCGCGTTATTTTCGTCGCGTAAAAGCTCTCGCGTTAATAGCCGAGTACCGTCGATTCTGTCCGAGTTTTCTGTGATATGTCACGAAATTAATCTTTTTATTTCAGAGGCTGATCGCCGAACTCAATAAGGAACAGGAGGCTTTCATCGCCAGCAAGCAGGCGGGCGAGAAGGGTGAGGCTGTTGCACCCTGGGTCGGCGCGCCGAACGAGGACGCGCTACGCGAGGAATGCCTGTCGCTCTCAACCGTGAGTGATTTCCGCTTTCTTCTTTCATTATACGTAAAGGCTTGAGAGAGTTTCGAGATATTTAGGAAACTTCCTGTCGTAAGCTCTTGTGACGCATCGCAATCTCCTCTCAAACTAGAGTTTTTCTATCTTTGTCGCGAGATTATAAGGGAACCTCGCGAATTCTCATTTTCTGATTTTAATATAACTTTGCACACATGTAGAAGGAGTAAATGGATGAAATTTACAATAAACTTTAGAAGCTTTTAGAGTTGATGCTAAAAAACTACTTTAAGAGTGAAACCATTCTTCATGTTTAAAGTAGTTTTCGGTTTTTTTTCCATATATCTCGAAAACTATAAATGTTTTACACAAAAATTTTATTGTAAGCATATCTCTATTAACAACGCCAATAAAATTTTAAAAAAATATATTAAATTAACACATGAATGTGTTAACTATTTAATACAAAAATTTTAACCGGCATATTTTTTAACAAGAAAACAAATTTTCCACCTGTGTGTTATTTCGCGATGGTTGGTTAAAGCGACGAAACGGTGCTATCGATCCTCCGTTAGTAATGTCCATACAGGATGGAATATATTGTCGCTGTGCGGTAAATGCATCGCGAATCCAGCGAGCTTCATTGATCCGCGCTTGATCCTCGTAGCTGCAAGAAACTCCCTCTTTGTCCTCGGCACTTCCGCTGACCTCGCGCTTCCACCGCATTCAGCGTGTGTCCTTTATTTCGCAGATTCGTGTTTCCCTTTTTGCACGCTTTTCCTTTTTCCAAGTTGGAAATGAAAAGAGCAACCATCCATTAGTGGCTATTAATAAATAATTAATCTTGTAACGCGAGAAATCCGAGATTTTGACTCAATCTTGATATATTTGCGTTTTCTTCTTTCGATATAGGGGAAAGTAGAGTAAAACCGGGTAGGCGGAACAAACCGGGTATTTCTGTTTCTTCGTGATAAAATTGCTACTATCTTTGGCTAACACGTGTTATTAGCTGTAAATTGATGCCAACATTATTTTGAGATGAACCGTACTCACGTGCATATGATAATTCTTTTTTGAGAAAAGTCCAAAATTTTCGGACCAAAAAAGATCGATATCAGGACAACAATCGAGTCGTTATGGACTTTTTCTACACAGAGCATCTGCTTCGGTAAATGCAGCATTGCGTTCTGTACATATTAGAGAGCACATCTACACTAGTTTTGATTGTCACTTTGTATGCCGGAATATACAACCGTTGTATTTGTTACTTTCCTTGTATTGGGGCAAAACCGGGTACTTACACATTTCATGTAATGAAAAGAGGAAAAACTGTTATCCTGACTTTGTGTCCCTACAAAAAGCAATTGGAAACAAAAACTACCATTCAGAAAAAGAAATCATTAAAAAAAACTTTTTGAGACCCCTAAAGTTAAAAAATTAAATAAGGAAGTTCTGCAGCAATGTCGAACAAGAGGATATCTTTATTTGTGATTTTTGTCAATAGAATACATCTTTATATCGTATTTAGATCAAAATCTAGATTTTGTGATGTTTTACATGTTTTCAAACGGGTACCCGGTTTTATCCTACCGGTAGGGCAAAACCGGGTATTTTGACTTCTCTAAAAAATCTCGTTATTCTTGGTAAACAAAAATTTTTTTTTCAGCGACTAGCCTCATTTTTTCATAGTTTAAGATCCACTAAAGACTACTAATGGTCAATAAAATTTTTTTTATTCTCTGATTTTTTGTAGGAAGACAAATCCAAAAAGTACCTGGTTTTACCCTACTTTTCCCTATACATATCAAGATATCTAGTGTTTCTACTTCCTGGAAAAACACGAAAAACCCGGAATTCTCAGAGATTTCCTTTTTTCTCGATGAGAATTTCCTAATCTTTTCAGGAGCAAAAGATATCTCTGAGAATTTTATTGAGGTTCTGGGAATTTCTTAAAAAACTCTCTCTTTGATAATTTTGCTGTTAAATTGTAAGCCAAGTGAATTATGTATTAAAAATATATTATAAATATATATAATATATCTATTTCTGCTTATATATTCAATGTCTTAAGAGAATATAGAATATGCAGGAGATATTCTTTATTACAATTTATAATGATAAAAAAAATGGAAATATTATACAAGTGAAAAATGTTTATTTCGCGAAAGCTATCCAGTTTTTTTTTCAGTACTTACATTTGCAAATCTAGTACTTGAAACTTAAGTGGCTCTGTTTTCCCTTCGCATGTGAAAAACATCAAAAAATGCATACAATAAAATAATATTTTAAAAAGTTGATACCAAATATTTAAAATATTCTCTTTATCTGGAATTTTGAACAAAAATATCTGGAAAATCATTAAGGAATTTATCTACAAAATTTAAGGAATTCTTCTACAAGATTTGAGTAGACACTCTATACAAGGATGAGTGAGAATAGAATTTTTCTATATTTCTATATTTTCGCGGACATATAATTACTTTGGGACGATATAAAATTCTAGATTATTCATGGAACTATAAAAAATTGTAAATTATCTGAATTTATGTAAAGTGTTTTCTCACAAAAATCCATCTCTTTTTTTTTTTGAAAGAGAAAAATAATCTTTATTACATTACGCCACTCGTGTGTGCGTGTATTTGTGTGTGTATGCGCGCGCACTCATATATTCTCGCAACTCGTTACAGAGACACGTGTATTTTCAGCGCTAAATAACTCACAAATGAAAACGAATTCACGACAGCAAATGACAGGATGTCATTTGTGCGATAATTAGTTCTCGCAAGGAACAAAGTGAAAAATATATCGCGCACCCGCGTTATTTTCGTCGCGTAAAAGCTCTCGCGTTAATAGCCGAGTACCGTCGATTCTGTCCGAGTTTTCTGTGATATGTCACGAAATTAATCTTTTTATTTCAGAGGCTGATCGCCGAACTCAATAAGGAACAGGAGGCTTTCATCGCCAGCAAGCAGGCGGGCGAGAAGGGTGAGGCTGTTGCACCCTGGGTCGGCGCGCCGAACGAGGACGCGCTACGCGAGGAATGCCTGTCGCTCTCAACCGTGAGTGATTTCCGCTTTCTTCTTTCATTATACGTAAAGGCTTGAGAGAGTTTCGAGATATTTAGGAAACTTCCTGTCGTAAGCTCTTGTGACGCATCGCAATCTCCTCTCAAACTAGAGTTTTTCTATCTTTGTCGCGAGATTATAAGGGAACCTCGCGAATTCTCATTTTCTGATTTTAATATAACTTTGCACACATGTAGAAGGAGTAAATGGATGAAATTTACAATAAACTTTAGAAGCTTTTAGAGTTGATGCTAAAAAACTACTTTAAGAGTGAAACCATTCTTCATGTTTAAAGTAGTTTTCGGTTTTTTTTCCATATATCTCGAAAACTATAAATGTTTTACACAAAAATTTTATTGTAAGCATATCTCTATTAACAACGCCAATAAAATTTTAAAAAATATATTTTTTGAAAGAAATTAAAAAAAAAAAATAATTTTTACAAAATTTTATAATTCAAAAAAAATTTTTTTTTTTATGGGAACTATTATTTTTTAAAAATTTTATTAGCGTTAAGGTAGGTGACGTAAAGATGCTTTTACAATTAAAATTTTGTATAAAACATTTTTTTGAATATCTTGAAAGGTTTTCGAGATGCATCGGGAAAATTCCGAAAGATTACATATGCAGGACAGTTTTACTCCTTAAAATTGTTTTTCAAAACTAAAAATTTCTAAATTTATCCATTTACCTCTTTCAGTTGTACAAAATTTAATCAGAATTTCCGAGTTTGCGAAATTCTCTTATTAATCAAAGTACCTCTACGCTAGTTTCTTTGTGCGTTCTCCGTGAAAACAATGATATTACAAGAAATACATTTTCGAAAATACAGAAATTTTCTTAAATCTGTAAGTATATAGCAAAATCTTTAATTTTCAAAAATAGCGCGAATTGGAATACAATATATTAACAATCAAACATTGATTACAGTACTAACTATAATTTTTCTTATTTCACATGAAAATTGTTTTTGGAAACAGTAATTAAATTCAGATATCTCTCTGAATGTAAATTCTATGTGCTTTATTTTATTCACACAAAGAATGCATAGAAAAAAACATTGATTTCATTAGAATTTGAATTTTTTCATACCTGACAGTTGCATTGTGCGTTTCCGCGCATGCGAATTTTTTAAATCTTATATAATGTTGAAAATAATTGTTTTTGATTAAATTTCTACTCTACTGCACGCTGGACACATAAAATTATCTTTATTAAATTTGAGTATTTGCATTTGAGTGTTCACTGTGCAAGCAAATTCTGACAAAACACTGTTATCGAATTTTGTCACACAAAAGATTTTCACCGTACGATGAATTTAGCAACCGTGCATGACAATGGTACTGAAAGATTTAGGTAAATAAAAATCACTTTCTCATTCTTCAAAGCAACGGCATATTATTATTGTTATAAGCAATGTTTTATTTTTTACGAGTAATTAAACTTGAGTTGCAGGTACATAGAAAATCCAAATTGTTGATTATAAATATAAAAAGATTCATTATAGTTGTTTAATTAAACGGCTAATTACAATTTATATATTTATACGTAGTATATAAATTTTTTCTTCGATACATTCTCATGATTCTTCAGAAGCTTAATATCATTATGACGAATTAAAATGCATGGAACTGAATTATTAACTGCAAGGAAACCAACAATACTTATTAATCAGAATGTACAGTGGATAAAAAATTGTTTACTTACTGATATAATATTTTGATAACTGAAAATTATTCCAATTTAGAATTATTATAAGCTAAATATGAAATATTGCTTATAAGTTTTAATAAGTTCCACGTTTATCTTTTATGCAAATTACCGATAAATTTGCAATGAAATAGATTTGACATATTTTACACACTCAAACATTTTATATACATATACATAGAATTACAAGAAAAACTGTCAAAATTATTTTTTTATTTTAAGCCCTTTCAAAATTATCTAACTGTTATCCTAAACGTTTTTGTGTCTAATAAATATTTATGAAGATATCTGAGAAGACAGTTTTTACCCTATATATTGTAAGATATACATATATGTAATATGTAATGATGTATATAGACCCATATTTTTCCATATTTTTTAATCTTCTTCATCAGCGCTGAACCTATGAAATCATATATGCACCAAATTACCTTGTTGGGCAAAATTCTGAAATCAAAATATTTTTGTTATAGAGAATATATACGGACGGAAATAATATAATCGTAGTATAATAGCATTTGCATTTATTAGCGATTTATGAATCGCTTTGTAGTTTATTAACATATGTAGTGATTTTTTGAAAATATATCATGCGTATTTAATAATAGAATTTTTATTTGCACGATTTACCTCGTTAAATATAATATCGGCAGCCAACCTGAAGGTATACTTCTTTCTTTGAAATTTTGTCTTTACGCATCCATTATTAGTGAAGCTGCTTTCTGCGGTGGAATTCCTCCCATTATACTTGGAAATCTATTATTGATAAATAAAATAAAATTATCTATCAGCAATAATTATCATAAAAATGTCTTATTACTTTAATGTATAATATTTTTGATGTGTGTGAGTAATGTAAGATCTATGATACAATAAAAGACACTAGGTTTTTATACGCTAATTTATAAAATGTATGAAAAAAATTATAACTTTATAAATTTACACACCATCGCTATTACGAAATATTAATTACAATTCGTCAATTTTATATCATTATGTCAACATACCTTATTCTTAGCTTTTTGACAATTCCAGTAAGTACTAGAGTCGGATAAACGGTAGTGAATTTAATCAAGGATTTACCTTTGCTATATGTACGTAATTCATCGCTGACAGCTTCCATAAGTGCTGTAACACGCACATGAAGGAAATATTAGAAAACATGCTCTGCAATTTACGCTTGCAATATAATGCGCATATAATGTTTGTCGATTTACAATGAACATTAATAATCATATGCTTTACACACGTAAGATTATGATAAGATTAAATTACCTTTGACCGCGGATTTTGTGGGGCAATAAACCGTACCATGTGTAATGCCGTGATGTGCTAGTAGTGATGAGATCGCCACAACGTGACCGCGATTCTTTTCGATCATACTCGGTAGAAATGCTTGCAACGTCTAAAAGTGATTCTATTTTATTTGAGAACAATTTGTGGAAACTTATTACGAACATATATGTGCGTGCGTGTGTATGTGTATGTGTAGTCTCTTAAATTTGTTTCAATTGTAAATATAGTAAATTAATTTTCAGCGCGCAACTTTTTTTTTAATAATATAAATTACATTGCCGATTATTTTATATACATATGTATATCTCGTAGCTGCTATGCATGTGTATCTCAAATATGTTACTCACCCAATAATGCGAAATTAAATTGACATCTATAACTCGTGTAATTTCATCGGCGGTTTGATTTAGGAGTCTTTTAGCAATCCATATACCGGCATTGTTGACTAAAATAGTAACGTCGCCGACTTCTTTTCTCACTTTTTCAGCTATCTTAAAGACTTCTTTCCTGTCTGCTACGTTGCATCTATAAAAATATCAATCGAATTTTTAATCAGTTGACAATAGTTAGATATGTGTGATTAATTGTACGCGCGTAAACTATTCGAATCGCTTTTTATTCTATGAAACTAAGCAACATTGATTTACTGATATGCGTATGTATTGTTTTTCCCCATCATTTTAATCTCGTTCATCGTTTGCTTGTTGGTTTCTTCGTTGATATCCCAACATACCACTGTCGCTCCTAACGATGCATAACCAATCGCTAATTCCTTCTCGATACCGTGGCCCGCACCTGTTATCTGTCGTAATATATGTATTAAATACCAAGCCGCATCGCGTGAATTATATATTGTTATAAATTTTATAGTTTACAAATTTTTATCCAATTTATATAAAAAATAAATAATAAATAATTTTTTTATCAAACAATGGTTAGATTTTAAAATAAACAAAAGAAAAATATAACAAATCTTAGTTTATTTTTAATTCTTTTTTGTTCGGGATAGAAAAAATTTAATGATAAACTAGTTTTAAATTATTTTAAAAGAGTATCTGAAACGCGCAATACAAAAAAGTATTTGTAACTTGTTATTTGATGGAATAATCTATAAGGCGAAATAATGTTTTGATAAAATGAATTTTTGTTAACATATTTACATATATTATGTTAATTTTAATTTTATGAACTGAATAATACATTGCTCAAAAAAATTATAGCATAGAAAATATTTGCCGAAAATTGGCCAATTTTGACTGCCGATCACTTCGCGAAAAATTATCGTAGACGAATGATTTTTTTTCAAAATGAAGCTTGACATCTCTACTTTAAGAATGTACCTCCATTTTTTGCATGCGATGCACTTCTACCCCTGTAACCCCTGAAATCTGAGGGCATGTTTGGCATACTGAAAATTGCAAAGTTTGACGGAATGCACGGAATGCATGGAAAAATTTTTTTCAGGGACATTGTTTGCATCGTCATAAAGTTTAAATCTTCCACTTCAATTTAAAAAAAAAAAGTGAAGTCGCTACGATTTTTTTTTCGCAAAGTTGCAGCCCTTCAAAATTACTGTTGTTTTTGGCCTTTGAGCCAAGTACCGGCCGGTGGGTTTAATGACTAATCAAAACACGAGCCAGGAGCTGAAAACGTGCGCGCGCGCGTGGGTGTCCACAAACACTTTTGCCATAGCTCCACTATGGCTTCCGGTCATTAAACCCGTCGGCCGGTACTTGGCCCAAAGGCCAACGGTAATTTTAAAGGGCTGTAACTTTGCGAAAAAAAAAATTGTAGCGATTTCGCTTTTTTTTCAAATTGAAGTGAAAGATTTGAACTTTATGACGATGCAAACGGTGTCCCCGAAAAATTTTTTCTACGTCCGTGCATTCCGTCAATCTTTACAATATTCAGTATGCCCTCTGATTTCAGGGATTACAGGGGTAGGAGTGCATTGCATGCAAAAAAATGGAGGTACATTCTTAAAGTAGAGACTTCAA